TAGATACGTCTCAGGTGTGCTGGAAGACTCCAGCTCCAGGAGACCCACGGCGCACTCTGCTGGAGGAAGGTGGTACAGCTCCAGATCCCAACAATTATGGTGCGTCGGCAGAGTGACATATTTTCAAATGCGCCCTTTTTCTCCAGACATATTAGTGAAGCAGATTCCAATAAGCACTCCTTAATAAACTCACTCAAGAAATGCCTTCCTGTTTCTGGTGATTTTGTCAGAAATAACACAAATATCCTAATGGCTGCATCTCTGTGGGTGTTAAGCTTGGTAAAAAGTCCTTGTTGGGTTTGCAGTTTTGCTAGCAAAGCAACAGACTCTCTTGTGCACTCTTTATCAGACAGGTCTGTATTTCTCTTCATGCTCGGTCATATAATGTAGATTCAAATTATAATCTTTAAACAAAGTGACCTGTTTTCAACAAATTAATCACACTGCTTTACCTTTGATTTCTGTAAAGAAATACTTTGCAGTCCACGTCTTGTTCACCTTCATTACACGCTCACGCCAGACATGGGTAATGTGGAGTCAACAAGTCATCTCCATGTCATGTATTTAATCTACCCAGCCAATTAACCAGGTGAGTCCAATCTGCACAGGTTAATTCATGGTGAAGATTGGACTCACCTGCTTCAGTGGCTGGGTAGAACAAAGACATGACATGGAGATGACTTATTGACTCCACATGGCCCATGTCTGGCTCACGCATGCATGTATGTCCACATAGAAGTGATCAGATTTTCAAAATAAAAGTAGCAGATTCGTATTGTGCGCATGACATCGTTTTGTATTTATGCTGTTACTTACTTTATAATTGGCCTAATGTGGGCCACTCAGAGGTGCACAGAGGGCTGGATGTGGCCCAGGTTACTTCGTTGCTCTCCATAAAACAGGAGGTACAATACACAAAAAAGCAAAGAATAAAATAAAACTATAGACCACAGGGTTTCACTGTTATAGTACCACATAAACAGGATAAATTTAACATTTAGCATTCCCACCAAATCCTTTAACAATTAATTAACAAATGGTAACATGTAAAGAATGAATGAATTAAACAGGATTTCTAAACTTTACTAAATGAATATATCTACATACTGTAGAAATATCAGTTACATATAAATAAACTGTAAAATAGTATCTTGTTTGTGTTGTGTTCTGTGTCGCGTATCGTGTGTACATAAATCGACATGAGCTAATTTGTTGTAGCTGCTTCTTTATTCGGCATATACTCAGAATACAGTTACAACGTGAACCGTCACTACGTATATCCAACTACGTCATGCGTGCTGTATCATGTGACTATGTAAACGAATCACAACGTTCTATGTAAATGAGGAACGGCACTTCATAAACAATACATTCTGTCAGAATGTTACAGTTTGTTCTCATCAATTTTCCAAAACAAGAACTCTGGTTCGGCCTCTAAATAAATGAGGATTTAGAATAGGAATTTCGCCCTTTCTCTCCAACTTGAACTATGACTCCAGTAGTTTTAACTACTTGTCCTAGTTGCCAGTGATGTCTTGGGAGGTTGTCATCTTTGATAATGACAATATCATTATTGCCTCATTTTCCCTTTTCCAACGACACCAGAAGTGTGTAATCTAATGTATTGTAAATCCCTTTATTGTCCCACAATGGGGAAATTCACTCTCTGCATTTTGACCCATCCCCTTGAGGAGCAGTGGGCTTCCATTGTGTGGTGCCTGGGGAGCAATAAGGGGTTGAGGGTTTTGCTCAGGAACTCAGAGTAGAGGATGTGGTATTCGAACAGGGTACTTGCAACCTTCTCAGGGCACAAGCTTACTGCTATAACCCACTAGACCAACAATTGTTAGAATTTATCAGTGAGTACTACACTCTTTTCCACCTCTTTGTGGCATAAAGGTCCTCTTTGAAAAACACTCTAGAGGGAGGGAGGGTGCACAGGACGACCTGTGCACTGTGCAAAGGTGGCTTTCAACAGGTTTCTGATTGGATTAGATTGGGCGGATGGTTGCCTTTGACCGTGAGAGGCATTATTTTGTGTGATGTTGTTGCTGAGCAACTGTATAAAATTAACATCATCTTGAGACACATACTTCTCTTCATAACTTCTCTCCATGAAATTTGATTCCTTAGTCCTTAAAACGTTGTTGCCGATAGAGCTTGCAGCTCCTTTACTGTGAGCCAGTGTACAAAGCATTGATTTCCTTGTCTATCTAGGTGGGGGTTGATAAGCCTATTGTACTCCATCATAGTTCTGATCTCTGTGCAAATGTTTTTGCCACGTATTATGACCTCAAATGGAGCTAGGGCCACTTGACAGTAATATCCAATGAGAAGCCCTACATCACAGTCTCAGAGAGGTGGTAACTTATCCGCCAATTTTTTTCAGATGAGGCAATCTTAACGCAGTTTCTTTTGTTGGGACATCAGAATCGTCTACGAGAGGAAGTCTCGGCTGAAGGCCTGTCCATGAAACATTTTTTTCATTGTTTTTTCTTTGTTTTTCCTTTATGACACCCCAAGCCTGTTTTTGAGACTCTTATTTCAGGGCATATACCGTAAATTCTCTAATATTGGCCTGTATTCCA